TAGGGAAATAAAATGGTGGTGGCTCACCAGGGCCTAACTCGCTAGGTGATCATTACACTCCATTTTATGCTCTAAATGTCCTAGGGAAATATTAAAAACTACAATTTTAAAAATCCCAAATCCAACAATTTTACCAAACCTCCTAATAAAAATGACAAAACAAAGCAAATAAAAAATCTATTCAGAAGCACCATAGTTGCCATTAGTGGTCTAGCCAGGACAGGACATTTGGGTGGGCCTCAATTTCGGGGGCTGGGTGGGCAATAATGGGGTTAGAGGAGGGGAACAGGAGGGATTGGGACCACCTTCCCCAACCCCTCCAGCCAGCATTGTGGGGGACAACGGACTCTCCGGCAAGGGGACCTCCTGAGTCCCAGGGCACATCCAGGGAGTGGGGTCAGGGCATGAGGGCTTGTTCTACTCTGCCTGTCTGCCCGATGCTCCAGCTGGGGCGTGGGGTCGGGACACAGGGGTAAAACCTCCACACTCCTCCCCACCTCCCTGACGGGAGTGCCAGGTGGGCAGGCAGAGCAGGGAAAGCCCTCAGCCCTGCTTCTAGACTGGAGTGGTGGGCAGAGCAGGGCAAATGCTGGAGCTGGAGGAAAGCTGGGCTGGCCCTGGATGCCAAGTAGGGGATAGTCCAACCCTGACTACACCCCTCAAAGTCATCTCTTGGGGCCTCAGTTCCCCATATATTGAAGACAATTTAATAAGCTCTCTAATATTATAGTGATGGGGGCATATAAGTACCCCAAGACTCAGACACACAAGATGGATACTGTGTATACATATTTTTCCTTAGCAGGATTCTTCCATTCAGCTGTTCAGTTTCCTCCCCTTCAGATCTCCTGTGCATAAAGGCCCCTCATATGCACCCTTTTTCTAGCAGAGGGGACTCTGGACTTTGTTCCATCCAAAGCTTGTCATTGGTATTCCTTGAGTCTGCCTGACAGGTCACTTTAGAGTGACACAATGGTCATTTCCATCTTTGCTCTGTGCATGCTGGGAATACATTTTGCTCTGTTAGACTAGACCACTGTAATTCAAGAGGAACTGCAAAGGAGAGGGAGTTCTTCTGGATTAATATTGCTGTCACTGAGAAGAGAATTTTTGCTATCTCAGGCTATGCTCTCAGACTCTGCTGATGTAAGAGTGGTGGGCCCTGTTCTCAGATTTTCCACACTGGGCTACTATTGGGCATGCTTTTTGGTTTATATTTTCTCGCTTCTTTTTCGTTCACAGCTTCCAACAATTTTCTGCTATAAACCTTTGGGTTTGTTGCTTATCACTTTGCCAAAGTTTAACTGTTTGGGATGAAATTTTGCATGCTGAAGGCTGAACTTTTCAGGAACACTTCAGCCAAAACAGTTCAGCTGCTTCAGAGAATGAGAATATGGAAAAATACATCATTGTGCCCCTATTAAAAATGCTGACCTCTTATTTGAGCAGCTGTAGCACCCCATGTTTCAAAACAAGAACTTAAGCTTTGGTAGTGTGGATGGCCTCTGTGTCAGACTCAGGAATGTACCTTTTGCAGTCCCACTGAAAAGCCACCCAAATTTGGCGATAAGTCTTTGAAAAAAAAATCACAGTATGCACATGCTGATTTTAGCAGCTAAAAATCCCCAAGATTCCATCATCACTGAGCATGCTCAGGCCTCTGGCCACTGATCTGACTCCATGTGTTCCATCCCCACGGAGTAACTGACGATATATCACCCCCTCAGCACTTTTGTGTGTGACCAGACTAAGGATGTTAAATATCGGTTAATTGACTAGTTAAATAGTCAATGGAATTTCCATCGACTACTCAACTAGTCGATAGGCACTTACGCATTCCTCCTTTGAAATGTACAAGAGCCCCTGCTGCCTCGGTGTTTCAAAGGGGCAGCCCCACATGGCTGAGCCCAGGCTCAGCTGTGTGGAGCTGCCCCTTTGAAATACCCCCTTTTCCCTCCCCTTTGCTGCCTCTATCTGATAGAGGCAGCAAGAGGGGGAGAATTGACTAGTCGACTAGTCCTTAACATCCTTAGACCAGACCTGGGCATTGTGTTGAGATGGAGTATGGGTATTCTGACTGCTCTAGGGAGAGCACCATAGAAAATATCACAGGGACATTAATAATTCACTGCAGGATTTGGGTACACATAATTATGAGGATGCAAGAAAATAGTGAATAACAACCCATTCACTAAGCACCATTCATCTTGTGCACTGAATGAAGTAGGGATGTGGGGGAGGGGGAGAGTATGCAATACAATCTAATTAGTTGATCATAATGTACATACATACAGTTGATATACAGTATTTAGAATATTTTGAGCACTCCTGTTATATCACTAATATTCTAAATGATGAATAATTGGATTTTTTCACCTCTTTAAAGTCAGAGAGCATAATCTATTTTTTATATTTTTTAATTCAGGTCTTACCAGGTCACTACCTACAGTATTATGAGTTTTAGATTGATGGAACATGGACCAAGGTGGTAAAAATTATTTTTACAGCAAATAATGTAAACTTAAGTATAATGCCAATTAAAATTCAGTTAATTATTTCCATTTAGAAGCAGCTTTTTCCTTCTCATATTAATTCTTTTACTTTTTCATTCAGCTGTTTATTTCAGAAACTACTGAGCCAAGAAAAGCTTTAGAGATGTGAAAGCTTGAGTATCCACTATCTCTCCTTTTTTCCCAAATCCGTTTTAAGCAACCTTATAGGGACAACTGGGATTGTGTATCTCCCTTATCATTTTCAGATAAAGGGTGCTTTCCCTCTTGTCTATCAGAATTTGTGTAAAACAGACTTTATGAAGCATTTCAGCTATGGTTATTTTTCAACTTTCTGTGTTCATACAGGGTTGTATTGTTTTATGCCTGGTCTTTGGGGTGAAACGGGTGGGCCTTAAGTAGTACCGACCTTCTGGACTTGTCACTTGTAGAAATTATAGTCTGGAATATAAAAAGGAATAAGCTAAAAAAGCTGAAACTCTGCAGGAAGTGCTGTATTTGATGTGAATGTAAAGGTCAGTATAAAATCCTTGTTAGTATTGGTATGGTGCCTGCACTCCAACCCCAGTCATGGGTGCATTGAGATACAAAAAGAGGGATTGTAACCCTCTGCCGATCACATTTAGCAATGGCTTCATGTGCGTGGAAAATATTTTAATGTCTCTAGTCTAAACTATAAAGCACATTTTATTTAGAATGCTTTTGGCCTATGATGATCTCTTTTTGTTTAGAGATGTAAATTTCTCCTTTCTAGAGATTTAAGTAACAAAGGACACCCAGTGACTCAAAATGTTTGAATTAGAGCTAAATCTCACTGCATGACACAGCTGCAGTTTGATTTGTGTACTCTACCAATTTAAAAAATCCCAAGTACAGCATTAGCAATGTATTTCTGGAATCCTACATCATATCTGTTCATACAAATAACTTCTGTTTCCTCAGGTTCAGGATTCAGTATTTCTGATTATTCCCAGTAACAGAGATCCAACCATGCTATCTGGAGTAGTTGGTCATGCTCACTTGGCTCTCAAATGAAGCACATGTCTCACGCTGAGGAATAGTTAGGTGGTCTGCATGAATTTTGCCTCAAGATTAGGTTTAATTCACGATCAGGCATTGCCTAGGAAAAAATCTGACAGTTCTACCACTGTGCGTCATTGTCTAAACTACAAAGCTCTGATCTGATATCATCTAGGAAGATGCAAGCTCAAGGAAATTAAATGAGGAATCATGTAGGATTCAAAAAAGGAACTCTTTGAAATACACTTAGTCTAGGAATGGTGCTGACCTCACAGTCCCAAATGAAAACAGATGAGCAAATAAGAAAAGTTGACAGATTGTCCCATCTGCAGGCATGAAGTATATTACCAAAATGCAAAATACTTCAAAAGAGGGTAAACAGAAAAATAGAGGAAACCTAACAATATTTTTCTGTTTTCTCACCATCCCTAAACTATGCTTCTTTCGGTCTCAATATTTTATTGCAGTTTTCTCCACTATGTCAATATACAAATGTTTTTATTCTCTCTCACCTGTTTGCACTTGTCCTCAGCTGCTTTCTTGTCTGCTTCAGCCTGTTCAGCTCTATCAATTGCGTTCTCCTTATCTAGCTTCAGCATCTGCATCTTTTTCTTGATGGCTTCCATGTTTGCTGGAGGATGGAGTTGTGTCTCTCACACACCAGGGAAGGAAAGCTTTGCAAGAACAAACTTGTAGTAAAAAGAAGTGGGAAAGTAGTAGAGCACTGCTCTAGGCATACAGGGCAGTGAATCCGTGAATGGTTGTAGTTAGCTTTAAAGTCTCAAAGATCCTTACTCAATATTTTGGATGCAGCCCAAATCTTTGTCCCCTCCCCTCCCAACTTTCCTGTGCAGTTTTCTAAGCTGGAAGCGATTCTCTAGGGGAATCTTCAGCGCTCAGTCATCTCCTTATTTGGGGCTCTGATTTCTTAAAGGAAAAAAATGTTTCCATTTTTAACCTTCTGACATAAGCAAAGGTGTTGACATATGAACACATAAGCTCAAAACAAAGCTCATTAGCAGCTCTGGGTGTTTGTAGACCAGTTTTACAGTCTACAGGGTTATGGAAAATGGTCTGGCTTCCCATATGTAGCAAGGAAGCAAGCAGAATAACATCTGGAGGAACTGGAAGGTTTCTTATGGACTTAGAAACTGAAAGAAGTTCATGCACAGAACATTTCAGACAATGACTGCACATGGAAGACAAACTACTGGTTGAACCTCCCAAAAGCACAACTCTCTGGTCCAACAACATCCATGGTCCTGATGTTCCTGGATTAGAGACCCCCCAGGCCAGGAGCTTAGTTGCAGGAGGGCTGGGGTCAGCAGGAGCCAGCCAGCATCTGGCAGTTCAGCAACCTTGCTGGAGCTTGCAGCGGGGCCAGTGGCAGCAGCAGTGCCAAGGCTGGTGGCAGCAGTGGGGCTGGGGCTGGCTGGCAGCCTATCGGAGCTGGCAGTAGGGGGAGCTGCCTGGAGCTGAAGTGGAGCTGGCAGCAGACTCAGGGGCCAGTAGCAGGGGATCTCCCCATGTCTGGCAAATTCCTTCATTTGGGACCAGGGTGCCAGACTAGGTAGGTCAAACCTGTAATAAAAACATGTATCTTATGAGAAAAAGATAACGTGTGTGTGATATGTGATGAAATGCATAACAAAACTAGAGACAGAAAATCATAAACCCTTTGGCTGTGTCTAGACTACATGCCTCTGTCGGCAGAGGCATGTAGATTAGACAGATCAGCAAAGGCAAATGAAGCCGCAAATGAAGACGTTCCCCCTGTCGACATCAAAGCCCTTTGTCGGCAGCCCCGTTATTCCTCGTGGGATGAGGTTTACCGGGGCTCGACAGGGGAAACGTCCAGACTAGCGATGAGCCGGCAAACAGCTGATCAGCTGTTTGTCGGCTCAGCGCGGCAGCCATGTAAATGTAAATGAAGCCGCGATCATTTAAATCGCGGCTTCATTTACCTTTGCTGAACAAACAAATCTACATGCCTCTGCCGACAGAGGCATGTAGTTTAGACGTACCCTTGGAGTCCTGAATTTTGATTTCAGTTAGCCTGATACGATTTCTATAAATAATCTTGCAGTTGACATTTTATATATGTAACAGAGAGCAGATTTGGTACTCAAGCTGGGGATCATAGAATCCTAGGCCTGGAAGAGACCTCAGGAGGTTATCGAGTCCAACCCTCTATCCAAAGCAGGAATAACCCCAAATGTTCATAAGCTTTAGTTTTTAGTTTGGTGCCTAACTGCCATTTTGGGGAATATTTAGGGGAATAATACATATTTTAAATTCATTTGGGACATGATGCTATAAAGTTGAAATGTTACTAGTATTTGTCCATCTGATTCCATTCATAAGCTATTATCTTTGGATATGATTGAGGGAAAGTTTCCTTTAGTTTTACTGTTGATGTATATTAATAAAGTGTGTGTTACAGAGGTGCTGTTTGCCCAGGGGCAACTCTTGTGGCACCATCTAATGTTCAGGAGACAAAAGTACATTTAGGCCCTTTTTTTGTCAGACAGGAGGGATTCTCAAACTCTCCCACAGACGGGGATGGCATGTAAGCAAACTATTTCATGCAGTTCTCTCTGCTTTCATGACCCTCTGGACTGTAACAGAAATGACGGGCTGGAAGGGACTTGAGTGCTCATCAAGTCCTACCCCTTGCCTGCACTGAGGTTGGCCTGAGTACACCAGAACATCCCTGGCTGGAATTTGTCTAATGTGTTCATAAAAACCTCCAGTGAAGGGGATTCCTTAACCTCCCTTGGAAGCCTGCTCCTAATATATAACCCTAAATCTTCCTTCCTTCCTGCAGATTAAAAGTGGGACAAGCAGCAATGTGCTCAGTGGACACGGAGAACAGCAAATAACTTGATAATTCTTCAGATGTGTTAAGGGCTGTCATCAGGTCCCCACTCAGTTGTTTTTTCTCAAAATGAACAATCCCCAGTTTTTTAACCTTCCATTGTTTTTGATGGTCTCCTCTTGATTCTTTCCAATTTCTACACATCTTTCTTGAAGTACAGTGCCTAGAATTGGAAACAGTGCTCCAACTAAGGCCTCCCACAGCTGAGTGGAGGAGGACAGCTGCCTCCCGTGCCTTACATAGCACATTTCTGTCAGCATACCCTAGAATTTCAGCCTTTTATTTACACTGCATCACATCGTTGATTCATATTCCAGTATGATCCCCAGATTTTTAGAGGTACTGCAGAGTAACACCTCTGAGACTTTTACCACCTAACAAGTGTTAAATGATCTTTAATGTTACATGGCAGTCAGTAACAAGAAGCCAGTATTACGTGGCCAGCCAACACGTTGTAGATAGCAAGTGTTTTGTGAACTAGTTTGGGAATCCTTGTTAAGCCACTTGAGTCACAAAAGTTTGTCCCCACTGGAGTGAGCTCATGTACTGATTATTTTTTTACTACCTTAGAACAGTGTTCAGAAGCCAGGGTAATCCAGTGGTGGGCCCCAAGACTCTTTGTTGAATGTCCGCAGGCATGTCCCCCTGCAGCTCCCAGTGGCCAGGAATGATTAGAAATTTCACTAAATGAATTTTACTTTTGTTTAACTGAATTAAATTGTAATTTGGTGGAGAAATAATTCTCACTGAATAGACACTTCAGTGTTCTGGAGAAAAATTGCTTCTAATTGGACTGAATTGTGAGCGTAGGAAATCATTCACTGTATATACATAACACTTTCAAATGAGGGTAATATGTTAAACAATGATCCCTCTGTGCTCCAGGCTATGGTAAGCTGTGGATAAGGATTGTGGGACAGACTTACCTGAGTAAGGCACATAGTGGATGTACGCTGTGAGTGAGACGTGAGAGAACTGTCTCCTTTCAGCCGCATTTTTCATAAACAAAGATTGAATTAACATAAATAAAAAGGGTTTGCTGATACCACTCATAGACTATGTCTTATAAGCAGTCAACAAGATGAGTAAAAAGTCAGAAACCTTGGGATCCAAAAATTGGTGTATTGGGAATTAGGCCTAATTTGTGGACAAAATAATGAAAAGATGGGCTACCTAGCTCATGGCTCCCTTTTGTGGGCCTTCAAAAGAGGCTGGATGCAAACAGGGGAATGCTTTTTACTGTCACCTCAGCTGTGGTGGAAGGATTGTTATCACAATACCAGATGTTGGTACTTTAGTGGGGAGCTTGATCATCATGCTGCACTGGGGAGAAGCCCAGGCAGGGCATGTCTACACTAGGAAATTGTTTCAAAATAACTTGTTTTGAAATAGTAACTCCCAAAATAACTGTTTTGAAATAGTGTGTCCCCCTACAGGGAAGCCTCAAAATTAGGCCAAGGCAGGCTTCATGTGGATGCTCTACTTAGAGCCCCAGAAAGCACTGGGGAGTAATTCCTTCGAATGACTCTGGGGAGTAGTTCTTTCAAAATAGCAGGAGCAGGGCGTCCACACTGCTGCTATTTCAAAATAAGCATTATTCCTCATGGAAAGCGGGAATTATTATTTCAAAATAACCAGCCCTTTATTTAGAAATAACGGGCGTGGTAGTGTGGACGCTCCACCTGTTATATCGAAATAAGGGGAGTTATTTTTAAATAACTTCTTAGTGTAGACCAAGGTTCTGATACATCTGAGGTCCTTCTTTGTTTTCCCTTCCGCTGTGCATTTTCTGCATTCCCCATCTTCTGCCTGTTCCCTCTCTCTCTCACACAGCATTAGCTTGGGGACCTGCTCATTAGTGGGAGAACTGCAGGATTCCAGCATGATGGGAGCAAAGGTTTAGGTTTAGATTTAGGGCCAGTCCCTTGCAAGTTACACTGGGAGGATTCTGAAATCAACTGTATAGCACAGCACCAGTACAATATGATGAGATGGCCCATTGAACTCTGCCCACCCTGGGAAGGAAGAATGAAGGAGAGGGACCTGACATAACCAGCTAGAATCGATAATGTCTCTGTCCGGGGAGAAGAGCCTATTTCCAGAGCACTAGCTCTCATGGCTGACCTCCAAATACCAAAGCATCTGTCCCATGATCGACCAGTCCCCCCGTGTCCTGAACTGCATTTCCCCCCATCTTTATTAACCTAATTTGTCTCTCTCTCCTGTGTGTTTTCTCTAATGCAGGAAAGTGATTATCATTCTAAATTCGGAATTGAATAATAGAACACTAACAGCTGTTTGACTGAATAAGAGACATTATCCAATATTCATGTCTCTAGAAAAGACTTTGGAGGTTTTTTATTATTTGTTTTCTATAAACAATCAATTTCAGTTCTAGTGTTCTTTATCCCATTTTGCTTCTTTCCTCTTATATGTTTCAAATAGATATTTTTGCAACATTACAAAGATTAAGAGTTGTGATTTTGGATACTATGTACCTGTATCGACTATAAACTACTTGAAGTTTAAACCAGAGTTGTATCACAATGTAACACCTGTAACCTTAGGTATGAATAGGACTGTGATGAAATTGTTAATCCATCCTATGTTACATTCACATTTAGGCTACGTCTAGACTGGCATGATTTTTCGGAAAAGAGCGTCTAGATTGGCAGGACGCTTTTCCGCAAAAGCACTTTTTGCGGAAAAGCGTCCATGGCCAATCTAGACGCGCTTTTCCGCAAAAAAGCCCCGATTGCCATTTTCGCAATCGGGGCTTTTTTGCGGAAAAGAAATCTCAGCTGGTCTACACTGGCCCTTTTGGAAAAAGACTTTTGCCCGAACGGGAGCAGCATAGTATTTCTGCAAAAAGCATGGATTTCTTACAGTCAGTGCTTTTGCGGAAATTCAAGCGGCCAGTGTAGACAGGTGGCAAGTTTTTCCGGAAAAGCGGCTGATTTTCCGGGAAAACTGGCACATAGACAGGAGAACAATACATAGTGAAGTGCAGCATAATAGTGCAGAAATTACTCATGTACTAAAAACTGTCACAGATGCAGGATATCACTCCTGGTGGGAAACACTATTAGGGTACTTCAGGGGGTAGCAGAGTTAGTCTGTACAGGATAAACTTAAAAAACAACAAATGGTCTGGTAGCACTTTATAGACTAACAAAACATGTCGATGGGATCATGAGCTTTCGTGGGCACAGCCCACTTCTTCAGATGACCGGAGTTTTGAGTTTTTGGATCTGCATATCTTAAACTATTAGGTTGTGTCTACATTGGCGCGATCCTGCACAAAAGCGGCCACTTTTGCGCAAAAACATGCTGCCTGTCTACACTGGCCGCGAGGTCTTGC